TATATAGATATATATTTATATCACTAAATGATTAAAGGAGAACTATGGGATTCTATCTTTTCTTGATTAAATTAATTTATTGAAAATAAATTATGTAATTTACTCTAATTAGCCAAAATGCACAGTAAGGCTGTAAACCCTTATTTAAGGTGGTGGGCGGGGCTAAGCGCCGCAATGAGGATACATATCGATGTGTCGGACGGGATCCTCCCCACTGATCTTCCTTACTGTGACTGACATTGATTCTTGAGAGCTGCTGCGCGTCCACGAATATATGGACATGCGCAGCAGCTCTCTCCTTACCTGCACGTCCCCGTGTGCCAGCCGGGCTCTTTCCCCCCTCTCTCTCTCTCCCTGCCCTGTGTGACACTGACATAATAAAAAGATCGTGGATCGCTGATGACAGAGGGGAAGGAGCCCTCTCTCTCTCTCTTCAGCATTTACTGCAAATGGGAACGTCCATATATGGTAAATTATGTCACTGGAAATCCCTGCAGATCGATGCTTGCCAGTCTAAGGGTTTACAGCCTTACTGTGCATTTTGGCTAATTAGAGTAAATTACATAATTTACTTATTTAGCCTAAGGAATGCATTAATAAAGAAAAGATAGAACCCCATAGTTCTCCTTTACATATTCTAAATTTTGCAAAGAATCAAAGACAATCTGTACATAAGAGAAAGTGTAGGCGGCTATTACTAAGCTAAATGTAAACATGCCGGTCGAGTTACATTTATTAATTCTTGAGTTGGTAACTCAAAACAATCATGCAATAAAGGCTGGATTAGATTATAGTCCAACTGGAGCCAACACTTTCATTTACAGTAGTTTTGATTACTGTTTTGAGTGGAGAGGGATTAAAGCTCCTGTCAGGATTTTACTGCTATGTCTCCATTAGGGATAGCAGGAAGAGACGAGGAATCTTGCTATCTAGCTTTGGTGACGCTGCTGACCACCAGAGATTTCCCTCTCTTTAGAGGGATTTAATTTCACGTCCTGTTGTGGCAATTGTATAGGAAGTGAAGGGAAATCCCTCAAAGGGAAAAAGATGCAAAAGCGTTTTGGCTTCAGTTCTACTTTAAAACTGATGAGAATTTCTTCCAGTTCAGTAATTCTGAAAGTACTATAGCCCAGTGCTCCCCAACCTTTTTATCGCCGCGGACCGGTCAACGTTTAATAATTTTACCGTGGCCCGCTGGGGGGGGGGACCGGTACCATTTGATTTGCAGTGGGGAACACTGCTATAGCCCTTTGATTAACTTGGTAGGAAACTAGCATTTTCAGAAAGAGAGAACAGCAGTGGCGGCCTACAGTTTTATCTCTGCGCACATTTCTTTAATGACCTCAAAAAGCCATAACTCTAGCCAGAAGCTTTGGATAGATCGGAGAAGGGTTAGAGCCTCTGTTAAATTTCTGTTGATGTCTGCTTCCCTACTGGGGAATGTATCCCTATTTTTTGGTCAGGAAAATCCCTCTATTGGGTACAAAGACAAAACTAAGAGGTGAAGGGTTCGAAATTCTAAAAAAGTTTTTATTGTTGTCTGTACCTTCCTGTCCTGAAGAACT